ATGATCCGAGTGATATTTTTCTATTATTCTTCTTGTAATTTATATATTAATATGTTATGCTAGTTTTTCATTATATTGGATGAATGATAAACCCTATCGTTTGTTTATTTTAATTCAAGACAATTAATTTAGTATTTCATGATTTTTTCTTGATTGGTTTTGCATTCCCATTAAACTATTTAATTGCTTGATCACCAATTAGATCGTAAGTTGCTTGTTGTAGTGTAGGAATACTCACAATAAGTCTAGAACGCGGTAAAATCAATACATGGACAATATGTGTTATGAATAATATCTATGGTATGTGCAATCATGTGTGATAAATCCTGTGAATCAATGCATGTTTTTCATATGAATTCGGGCTAGAAATAGGATCGGGTCGTGTTAGATATAGATTTAATATATCTTGGGAAAGTATATTGAATAAAAGTGGATTATCGATTGTCTTGAATGCATGAATTTACTGGATTATAAATTAAGAGTTGAATTAAATGACAATAGGGGGATTCACGATTTCAATACAAATATTCACATATTAAATAAATATTTTATTTGCTTTCTTAATTTAAGATTAACATAGAAAACATACAAATCACAACTTTTTTGATTTTATATTACTTCAAATTTAGTAAAAACTACTTAACTAAATATTAGACCTTATTCCTCGTGGGAACGATATTCTTAACTCACAAATTTTATTACTTGTATAACGATCCCGTACGCTTGCGGATTTCACACAAACAAATTTTTGGCGCCATTGTCGGGGAATAACGGATTTAATTTTAGTTTAGTAGTTTATATTAGATTCGATTTTTTTCACTTTATTATTATTATTATTATTTTGTTGAATTTAGCTACTCACCCCGATCTCTCTTATTTGGTATTCTTTCCAGGTGCTGTTCAGTAGCATATGCAAGATTCTGAAGTTGATATAGTATATTTATTTTTGCAATAATTAATTTCGACATGTACGATGAGGAAGAAGATATATATTGTAAGTTCTGCTATGGAGTGCATTATACTGACTACTGCTTGTATACATACACTGACACAGGAAGGCTCAAGCTCTTGCGATTTCAACAATACTCGCGATGTCGAAGATTAGCATTTGACAATGCTAATGAAGACTAAATGCCTGTGGGCGAGTGTGTCCCTTCAGACACGCTTGTGGGAGTTGGTCCTTCCATGTTGAACGAGGAGGTACTTGCAAAATACTACACTGATCTTGTCAAGTTAGATGAAAATAAAATGTGTGTGAGAGATGGCATATTTTGGATCAAATTTAAAAGGTAGGGGTATAATCCACTCGAGAAGTTTGAAAGAAAAGAGTTTCCATTGCCCGTGGATGTAGATTGTGAACCAGCCATTCAACCCGAGGATATATCAATTATGGAAGACAAGAACGAAGATGATAAAAGTTTGATTACATATGAACAAAATGAAGGGGGGGGGAGTAATTAATGAAGAAGACATTAACTCTCACTCTGTCGACTTCATTGATTGCTCTATCATTGAATTTGTAATTAAACTCAAAGAGGAGGAAGAAGTCTACATAGTTGAACTTGAATCGAATGAAATATGCAAGTCATATAACACTGGAAGGGGCAGTGCTAAAATTTGTAGAAGCAACGAAGAGTGGAGCAAAATTAAAAGGGGCAAACTAAGCAAGGCATCAAAAGCGTTTTTCAAAATTCCATGATGCCGAAACAATAAAGTCAAGCTAAAGACTATAAATAAGCGCTTGTTGGGAGGCAACTCAATCTTTCTATCCCTTTTATTTGTTTTGCTTTCTACTTATAGGATAATTTAGTTTATTTTTATGATTTTAATTAGGGGATTATCATCCATATCCCATTTTTCCTTAGCTTACTTGTTGGTTTATTGATGTTTGAGCCAAGTAACATTTGTTCCAGATCTTTTGTGTCTTAATGCTTTATTTATCCGCATTCTGCAGGAACATGACGTTGTGAAACACTTGAACCAACCATTACCAAGGAAACAATTTGAGACAAGGGAAAAGCTCGCCATTGAATTTCATTGCCATATCAGGGGAGTCTTTTCTTCATTTTTTCCCCCACCCCTTATTGGCGGATATAGGATTTCAGACATTGAGGACAATGTCTAATTTAAGTTTGGGGTAAAAAACATGAGTTTTCATTTGTTTTGTGTGTTTTTGTGTGTGTTTTATTGTTTTAAATATTAAAAATACAAAAAGATAAAAGAAAAAAAATTGAAAATTTTCAAAAATATTTTCCTTTTGTGTGCTTGTGTGAGTTAGTTCGCCTGACTGATAATAATGTATATATTGAATTATGAATTGATCTATGAACGGTGAATAGGTTGCATACTTAAGTTAATTTTTGCTTTTTCATGTAAAGTTGATATATATTGAGCACATGAATTAAGTTAAGCATTGTGTAAGAATGAGTTGATTTCATAATTGGATAGATTGAAATAGCGGACCATAGATGCTAAACCCAAAACGACTATATTTTACATCCATAGACCAAATTTAGAATAGTTTGGAGGATTTCACTATTGTAGGAAGATTTTGAGATAAATGAAGATTCCATATGTGAAACTGAAAAAAAAAATCTTGTGTGGATTGTCTAAGGTCAATAGGATGAAATTGGATAAAAATCTCAAGTTAGAAGTTGGTTTATTTGGATGGGTGTTTAATAAGGGATATTGCACTAATCAATGTATAAAAAAATAAAAAAATATTTTATTTGAAAATTTCTCTTCGTAACCTTTATGACTCGAGTTATTAAACATGTAAGGGTGTTAAAACCTAATGCCCTAAAGTCAACTGACTTAGGAGTCATCGGCCTAAACATCGCTGAAGGGGTCATTTAGAAAGTTTAAGGGAGAAAATGCTGCAAAAAAAAATGTTGAAATAAATATTGAAAAAAAAAAAAGAGAGAAAAAATTGGTGCATGAAACAGAAGACGCACTGGATACCTTGATTAAGTCTCAAACACTTGTTTAAGAAAATTGACTTTTGATAAAGGATTATTAGCCTGGTTGAGTTCTGGAGATTGAAGCAATCAAACTATGGAGAATCTTTATTTATTGATATATCGACTTGCAATTAGTGAGATTTACCTAAACTAGAGAGGTGATGATAGTATAAAAATTCAACCTTAAGTCACACACTTGAAAATAACGAAAAGAATAAGTTTGGGGGTATGTGAGTCTTTACGAGTGATGAAATGATATATTTGACCATTGAAGGCCGGGAATTGAAACTACTTGTGAATTCATGATGCTGTGCTTAATTCTCCATACATACACGTCAATTTTACATTTGGAAAAGTAGATTTTAATTTATGTATTGTAATTTTGAAGCTGTACATAGATTTGGTTTTATGATTTCAATCCTGAGATAAAAGGTCGGGTTAGCTAGCTAAATCATTTTACATTGTTTGATTGACTGGCCACCAATTAGGTAATTGGCACTGTGTGTTTGCTGGATTGTAGTTTTGTTTGAAGACAAACAAAGTTTCAAGTTTGGGGTTTGATAAGTGTAGTTTATACACTTATTTAGGATCCTAAATAATGATAATTTGTTATTCTTTGAACGAATTAATACCTGATTTGTTATTTATTACTTTTATTAGAAAAAGTTCATATTTCAAAGAAGAATTGGAAAAAAGAACGGAGAATGGCTAAATAAAGCAAATCTAAAGTATAGGGACCAAAGTGAAAATATTTAATGGTTGATTTGGACCACAAAAGATACTTTGAAGATTGATTGGAGTCAATTGAATGCAAATTGGAGTAAAAAAGAAAAGGAATATGATTAAAATATTACCATAAATCGACTTCCAATCATATAGGATATTTTCAAGATTTTTGGTCAACTTGAGCCCATTTTTCGGATGGAGAACGTTTGAATTGGAAAAATTGTATTTCTAGAAGAATTGTAGATCTTTTAATTATCTTTCCAATGCACTTTGAATCACCCGAATCGGATACCGAAAGAGAAAGTTATGATCAAAATACTGAAAGCTATGCAGAGACAAAATTATGTGCGCGCGAATACAACTTTCCTTATTTGATTCAAACTCTTTTGGAAAACAATTTGGACGTGAATTTTGACCTAATTTCATCATATAAATACAAGATATGAGCAACAATGAAATGGTCTCTCTCTTGCCTCTTCATACACAATAGTTTCATCAAATCCATCAATAACAAGGGATCAATTGCTATATTTTGAGAGAGAAGATCAAGTCATAGCAAGGAATTGAAGTTCAATTATATCAAGTTTTGAAGAATTCAACTTTGGACGTGAAGATCAACATCTTTTGTATTCTTTCATGATCCGAGTGATATTTTTCTATTATTCTTCTTGTAATTTATATATTAATATGCTAAGCTAGTTTTTCATTGTATTGGATGAATGATGAACCCTATTGTTTGTTTATTTTAATTCAAGACAATTAATTTAGTATTTCATGATTTTTTCTTGATTGGTTTTGCATTCCCATTAAACTATTTAATTGCTTGATCACCAATTAGATAGTAAGTTGCTTGTTGCAGTGTAGGAATACTCACAATAAGTCTAGAACGCGGTAAAATTAATACATGGATAATAGGTGTTAGGAATAATATATATGGCATGTGCAATCATGTATGATAAATCCTGTGAATCAATGTATGTTTTTCATATGAATTCGAACTAGGAATAGGATCGGGTTGTGTTAAACATAGGTTTAATATATTTTGGGAAATAATATTGAATAAAAGTGGATTATCGATTGTTTTGAATGCATGAATTTACTAGATTATAAATTAAGAGTTGAATTATATAACAATAGGGGGATTCACGATTCCAATACAAATATTCACATATTAAATAAATATTTTATTTGCTTTCTTAATTTAAGATTAGCATAGAAAACATACAAATCACAACTTTTTTGATTTTATATTACTTCGAATTTAGTAAAAGTTACTTAACTAAATATTATACCTTATTACTCGTGGGAACGATATTCTTAACTCACAAATTTTATTACTTGTACAATGATCCCGTAAGCTTGCGGATTTCACACGAACACTTGACACAGTAGAACTTGGAAAACAACAACCAGATTCATGTTCTTGTTCATCACCATTATCTTTTTCTTCAAACACATAGAGACCTCCTCTTTCCTTAGCATTGCCAATCATCTTTCCCGAAGAAAGTTCCTGAAATTGACAATAAGTAGGGTAGAAATTAGCACAGTAATTCCGATCTTGAGAGAGCTTACTAATCGAAATTAGATTGCATGTTAACTGAGGAACATATAAAGCAGACTCCAATTTTAGATCTTTATTGATAACTACTGTTCCAATCCCAACAATAGGGGCTAATGAACCATCTGCTATATTCACTTTAAAACTACTTAAATGTGATGAATAAGTCTTGAATAAATTATGACTTCCTGCCATATGATCAGTAGCCCTTGAATATATGATTTGAGGATTGTTTTTTAAGGTGTGAAATAGTGAGAGCTGCAGAATGATTACCTTTCTGGGCTAAGGATGAAAAAGGATTATTGTTACTATTTATCATCTTGTAGAGATTGTTAATCTGATCTTTTAAGTCAGAGACTTGACCAGAGTCTCCATCAATTCCAGGGTTGTGACAGCCAACCAGATTTGCTCCTCGATCTGTATACTTTTGTTGAGATCCTTGATTGTTTGTAAATTCTGCATCCTTTGGTCTCCCTGGTTTTCCATGAAGTTGCCAGCAATTTTCCCTCGTGTGTCTTTGCTTATTGCAATAGTCACCAAACATTGTCTCTATTTTTTTTTGTGAACCGATTGTTTTTTTATTGTTCCCAGGTACTCTAGTAAAGAATGCTCCAGCTTCGCCTCCTTTCTCTTTACTGTCATTGAATTCAGGTGCTTTGGACATCAAAGCAGATCCATCATAACCACCAGTCTTCATGGTTCCAAGCATCACATGTCTCTTTCATTCCTCTCGACGAACCTCTGCGAACATGTCTCGGATTGATGGTAAGGGCTTGGTGCTAACAAGTCGTCCTCGAACCTCATCTTGTTCTTTTATCAAGCTAGCTAGGAAGTCATATATCCGTTCTTTTTCCACCTGACGTCGATACTTCTTACTGTCATCTCCACGCTTCTAGTCGATATCGTAGTATATGTCTAACTCTTGCCATATTTTAGTCAAAGAGTTATAATACTGAGTGACGTTTTGATCACCCTGCTTCAACTCTTTCAGCTTGCACCTCAACTCAAATACCTAAGCTTCATTTTCCAGATCTGAGTATGTGTCACAGATGGCATCCCACATCTCCTGGGCTATCTTGTAGTATAGAAATGTTTGTCTTATATCCTCAGACCTCAGTCATAGAATTAATTAGCCAAGCCATCACCATTGAGTTTTCTGCCTGCCAAACCTTCTACTGTGTGCACTCTTTCTCTGGTTCTTGAATTTCGCAATTGATATACCCAATTCTACCCTTACCTGTAATCACAATACAAACAAATTGTAACCAATGGATGAAATTTGGGCCAGTGAGTTTATGAACTGTGATTTCGAGAGCACTGTCACTGTCATGCGAACCCCGTAGCAATGAAAACTACGAAACCCACAACTAGATTGATGCGGAACTCAAGAACGCCAATACTAATCCGGTTTTGGATCTTGAACCCCAATAATCGAACCACGAAACCTTAGATTAGCGAAGAATCTAAAACCCCTTGATTACAATCAATGAAACCCACAATCCGACGTCAAGAACGCCACAAGAAATCGATTCTTGATAAGTTCTAAGTTTGTCCAATGAAGAACAATTGATTGAAAGGAAATTTTCTCTCTCTGTATTAATTTCAGCAAAAGTTTTTTTACATAATGAAAAGAGTTTCCTATTTATACTATGGCATAAAAAACGTCCAAATTAATCAAAATATGGTAATATTTTGATTTCACAAGAGTTCTACCAACATTAGAAGATTAGGCAAAAATTAAAAAAAAACGAATTTTTTTCCCGCTTTTTGATCTATGCGGCCGCATAGATCATTTCTATGCGGTCGCATAGATCAACCCAGCCAGCCACAAGTAGTTTCGGTGGCCTTCTATGCGGCCACATAGGCCGTTGAGTCTGCGGTCGCATAGACCAACTCCGTGCCACCTTCGTCCGCTTTTATCTCGTTGATCCAAGTTCCTTCGGCCTTCGACCTCAACATGAAACTTGTTCCATTTGACCTCCCGAACATTGTTTCATCGATCGTTTGCTTGACAAGCAATCCCATCGCTTCTTTCACTCGCTTCGTCCTCGATCGCGTCATCGGTCCGCCTTCGACTATCAATGGATCCTTTCCGTAACTCGTCGCTTGACTCACTTCGGTTGTGGACGTACCTTGATTCATATCACTAATCTGCTGCATTGTTCCACAAACAGATGCAGAATTATCAATGGGATTCTCCATCTTCCCGCCGACATTAGCAGTCGCCATTTCAATGTCTCTCTCAATTCACGTTTAACTAATCTAAAATATTTTTTGCTACTCTGATACCACTTTGACAATAAGGGTATGGAAAAATATTATTCATTCCAATGATTTCTGGATTGATTATGTACATCTATACAAAAAAAAAAAAAAAAAAAAAGGTTGAACCCCAACCTCGTGGGCTCCCACCGTCCAGTGTCTAGAGCTTTGTGAGGGAGGTAAATCACGGGATGTGTCCCAACAGGTCAGGGAACAAGAGTTGCATGTATACTACGCCTACAAGGAGTCCAATTACATGTCTCAAAAATCGAATCCCCACACTGCGGCTGCCAACAAGGCGTGAGATAATCTCACTCCTATCCTTTACACCACTAGGCTATGATTCTTATCAACAATATTAGTTCAATTTATAAAAAAATTAGTTTGATCCCAACTCCGCCGATAGATGTATATAATCTTCAACCATACATTAGAAGGAAGGATTTAGGAGATACTTTTAAGTACCAATTTTACTTTTACATATTTAGATATATGCCAAATATACCTTTATTTAATTTTAGTTTTGTTAATAATTAAATAAAACTTTCAAATATTTACCCTTATATATTTTGCTATATGCCAGTTAATTAATAACATTAATTCAATTTATTTGATGTTAAATTGAAAAAAAAAATCCCTTTTCTTGTCCATTTGTCAATAATTTCCTAAACTAATCCTTTTAATATTACATTAATTTTTATTAACATTAATTCAATTTACATATTTAACTATATGTCCAATATACCCTTATTTAATTTTCATCTTTTCAATAATTAATTAATAACATTAGTTCAACTTATTCAACATGAAATTAAAAAATCCATTTTCTTTTCCCTTTGTAAATAATTCCCTAATTAATATTTTTAATATAACATTAATTTTTATTGATAGCATTAATTCAATTTTTCAATATGAAATTAAAATTCATGTTTTGTTTAAGGAACTCAAATGATGGCCTTAAATTCACATTTGGAAATTAAACAAATGAAAATTCATTCACTTTATGCAACATGAATTTAAAAAATGGGTGTTGTTTAAGTAACTCAAAGGAGAGCCTTAAATCTCCCTTTTGAAATTAAAAAATAAAAATAAAAATAAAATAAAATGCTATAAAAACTTGATTGATAGTGTTAATTCAAAATGAAAATGAAAAACAGTCAATAATTTCCTAAATCAATCTTTTAATCCTACATTAATTTTTATAGCAGTTTTAATTCAATCTACTTGACATTAAACTAAAAAATGAGTGTTGTTTAAGGAACTCAAATGATGGCCATAAATTCCCATTTTGTGATTAAAAAAAATATTTTAATTTGATTAATAGCATTAATTCAAAATAAAATTGTAAAACGGATGTTGATTAAAAAGCTCAAAAGATGACCTTAAATAATAATTTAGAGAAATAAAAAAAATATTTTAATTTGATTAATAGCATTAATTCAATTATCTTAAACTTTAATTTTCAAAAATTATGAATTCCACATTCGAATTGACGGACCACAATTCTTCTTCGATGGAATTGTGATTCATTCAGCTACCAATGTTCATGAGCTTCTTAAATGCCCAGTTTGCATCAATTCTATGTACCTTCCTGATTTTTGCGTTATAATATTCACATTTGAATATACTTTACTTTCTATATTTGATTTGGTATATTTGTATTCAAACAGATCCGATAAAAATTTCGTTACGTCAAAGTAAGAATTCTTTTTTTTTTTTTTTTGGGGTTCTAATCTTTATATGTTTTAATTTGTAATTTCACTTTGTATTTTATATTTTTATCATTTGTTCACAAATATATTAAATGATTTATTGAGTTTGAAGTTTTATTATGTTACTTGTAGTAATGATATATAGCTTGAGTGAGCAGAGCAAGCCTGCACAATTTACGCTATAAAGTGTAGTCATCATTTTTCTACATAATTTATTATATATTTTATAGATTTTTTGGGTTTTCCCCCTTGGAAGTAGAGACAAGGATTTTGTCTTAACATAAGAAATTGAGGAATTACATCACGAAAATTGAAATGGGTTACGTTCAGGTATGTGATTCAAAATCGCATATTTATATATTAAATACAAAAACTCTTGTCCTCTCCATAGACAATACAGAAAATTTATAAATTTCATATAAATTTAAAGAAATTATTAATTCAGATAGTATTAATACTTTCAAAAATAATTTTAGTACTTAAAAAATATTACGCATTTCATTTATGCAATGCATAAGCCGTGATGTGCTTACTGCTAGTACATTCAAATGTGTACAGAGACATCCGGAAACATGATAAGACCCCAAATATAGTAGAGAAGAGAAACGTGGGACCTATTTGGCTTTGGAGAAACCTGATGGGCCCCCACTAACGGGTCCCAATGAGGAATGCTAAAATGACAACATATTGAAGCGTAATTTGGATGCTTCTTTCGAGTAGGGGTGGACAAAATGTTCAAACCAAATCAAACCAAGTTGTTCTGTTCGGTTCTATCAAAAAAACTAATGATTTTGGTTCTTTAAACCGAGCCCCATTTGATTTTGGTTCTGGTTCAGTTCTAGTTCGAAAACCAGAACTAGAATCAGAATCGAACTTAATATTTAATTTTATATATAATAATTAGTGGAAACCCTAATTTTATATTCATTAGAGATAGTCCATTAATTGAATACAGTTTATTAATCGATTTTAGGTCATTAGAGATAAACAACTCATTGGTTGTCTACACTCTAATTATGTATTCAATTGAATTATTTCTCCTCCACTCCTTTTCAATTTACACAAAGTCGCAGCATATGAGTACCACATTTCATCAAGTCAGTGGAGTGTTATTTAAAATCGAAAAATGAAATTGGTCAGTTACTTAAAAAGTCTCTTTTATATGATGCAAATCTAAAAATTTAAGAAATGAAATTAGAACCAAACCAAACTAGTATCTTTTAAAAAAAAAAAAAAACTATTTGGTTCCATTATCAAAAAAATCATTGGTTAATGATTCAGTTCGGTTCTCTTGAAACCAAAACCATATGGAACCATATCCATCTCTACTTTCGAGTTGTTCGCCACGTTTAAACCATAGTACATGAACCAATTGGACTGTTGGGGGTTACAATCGTGAAGTTGTTCAGTCTCTGCTTAACTTCGTCACAAACAAATAAAGAAAAATTGCATCATCAACTATGGCGTCGATGGACACGACCAAGTAAGACATTCAATCTATAAATTGCAATGATCATATGTAAGAAAATATCACTACTTTTTATTTTGGATCTTCAAAATCGTTCATGAATGAGATGGAATCTTTTTCTCTAATTTTCTCAGAGAACGATTGATTTTCTTCATAAAAAATGACTTTTAAGTATTATCAAACATAATATCATGGCGCGCGCGTGTGTATATAAACTTTTTGACCAAAATCTGGGCGGGGGGAGTGTATCATATTCTTGAAAGTTTTGTACTATCATTTAAATTCCATCAGTGGAACATAGAAACAAAAAATTATTTGAAACTCGAGGGTGCCAAATTCATTTGGATTTACAATAAGTCGAATATATGCCTTTTAGAATTCTTTTTCTTTATAAAATTTTAAAATAGTATCAGCCGAAATGTGATATTCTTGAGTTAGGATAAAAATCATACAACCTATCTCAAATATCTTTTCAAAATAAATTGTCTAAGCTACAAGGCAAGTAAAATAGTCGATCATTATTCTTGATTCTATACTCTGTCCCTAATATTATAGATTATAAGTGAAATTACTAAGAATTGAATCAAATTTGCAAAGATTTTATTCTCGAAAATATCATTTTTTTTAAATAAATTAACTTTAGCTAGTGGAAATGTGTCACTTGCAAATTCATTTCTAATTTATAAAAAGTCTAAAAGATTTGACGAACAACAAAGAATGAGTTACACCCCTATCCGAACCATTTCGAAGAGTCTACCTCTGCCTATTACGAGGTGTTCAGCACCCATCCGAAGTAGTTTCGAAGTGACTTCACCACCAATGTTGT